GCATCCCCTTTCCTCTGGGAACCATCATTTGTACTTTACCCCCTATTCCCAGAGAATAATGAAATGTAAAACAGATGCTCTCTACCTGGGTATGGTGAGCACGTCCATAATCCCAGCAATTTAGCAGGGTGAGGCCAGCCTCAAAATTTTAGTGAGTCCCTAAGCAACTAAGCAAGACTCTGTCTCAAAAAGGATTGGGAATTAACTCAGTGGTAAAGCACCACTGGATTCAATCCTCAATGCCAAATTTAAAAATACATAAACAAACAAAACAAAGGTTCTCATTTTCCTATAGATCAGTCTAGCCACAGGCTGGGGATGTGGGGATGTCCATAGCCAGGCCAATTATGTTACCCACCTTGTTGGCCAAAGCTGATCTGTATATTTGTTAAGATAAAGGTATGTGATACAAGCTGAACTGATCATAATCCTTCCCCGAATTTTTTAAGCTGAAATTAAGGCAAGAAAGGTGATCTCTCAAACCAGGCATCTTAAGGCATGAGACCTCACAGAAGCCATGTGCCCTGACATGCGGAGAAAGATAATCTGAGAGAACTTAGTCAAAATGCAGAAAGAAGCAGAACACAGAAGACTAATAACCATGACAGTGATTGAGTGCTGGTTCCAATTGTCTCTGGTAACTGTTGTACTCCTGCACTTCTCATAAGTATACAATAAGCCATCCAATAAATTCCCCTCTATACCTAAGTAAATTCAAGTTATTTTCCTATAACCAGTAGCCAAGAAAATTCTACATATCCAATTCCAAGATAATAAATTAGATTTCTAGGGGTGGGGCCCAGGAATACTGCTACAAATTCTAATGCATCTGCAGATTCTAACACATCTAACATTAGTCCATGGACTAGCATTTAAAAATAACATGGTCCCCTAGATCATCATCAGATCTAAGGTAAGCAGGTTTTGTTTCTAAAAATTTTTTTCTCAGAGGCTGGGATTGTGGCTCAGTAGAACAGTACAGTACTTGCCTAGTACATGCAAGGCCCTGGATTTGATCCTCAGCACCACATAAAAAATAAATAAATAAATAAAAGGTACTGTGTCCAACTACAACTAAAAAATATTTTTTAAAAAAGAATTTTTTTTCCTCAGGAGAATGATGGCTGTATATCAAGCAGTACTAACAAAATTGGAGAAAATAATTTTTACTCTTATTAGTTGTTATTAAAAGATACATAGCCATAGATGGACTCAAAGATCCAAGAGACCAAAAAGGAATTTGAACTGCTAAGAATAAGGAAGTTTCAATCAAATGAAGAATCTGATTCAAAAGCTCTGCAAATAAAGTCTATCTTTCCTTAAGGATTACATCTAAGATAAGGCTACCAAGAATTTAAAACCGAAGAGGCACAAAATGCAATCTCCAATGTTAAATATATTAAACTGTATTTAGAAAAAAAGACATATACCTGTGAATTGTTCTTCCTATGTTTATTGTACCCCTACATTAAAATATTTTTGCATTCAAAATAAGTGGCCATTTTGCTATGGGAACTGGAAAGATAGAATAAAGATCAGAATTCCCTGATGAAGAGAAGGGCTTAAGCACCCTTCAAATGATAGAAGTAGAAGTAAATATGAAGGCAGCCCTACTTTAAACCAAAGAGCACCCGCCATAACTATATGCAATACTAACTTATCTCACAGACTACCAGAACTCAGAAAGGAGACTGATTTATATATATTTAAATATGTACATGTGTGTGTATATATGTGTGTGGTGTGTGTGTGTGTGTATCATACTTATAATAAATAAATCCATCCTAACTTCTTAAAGCTGATGATGCTTTTTTGTTATGATTTGGATGTGAGGTGTCCCCCAAAAGCTCTTATGTTAATACAGGAATAGTTGGAGGCAAAATGAGAGCTATAATCTAATCAATGCAT